TCCATGTTTAGACATGAGAGTCCCCACTGCAATTTTAAGCCAAACACTGTGCTGTTTTTACAAAACTGAATTAGAAACCAAATCAGTTTTCTTTATTCCTTCAGACTCTCCCTCGTTATGTGCCAGCTCAATCCACTAGCATGGCTGTCGTCCAGAACCAATCTGGACAATTGTTCTGGATACTAACCCTTCAGTGGACAGATCAGCATTCTAGCAGGGTTCTAGAATTCCCAGGATATGAAGCCTTCTTGAACTGCGGATCAATAATGGCAAATCAACAGTGCCCAGACATGGATGCACCCATTGCCTGTGTTAAGTGGGCTTCCTGAGAGCCCTTTAGACATTTCCATGAAAACCCCCTTTGCTGAGCTTCTCAAATAAGCACAACTGTGATTCCCTATCTCGGCATTTCCAGTTCCCTCACATAACAAACCAAGAGAGCCAAGACGAGCACCAACTGGCCAGCACCAGGGCCTGAGCTTAGCAGCCTGCCCACCCTCGTTACTGATTTTCAATAACAGGGAAGCAACATGCCAATGAGCTTCAAAAAGGCAGGACACAGCAAAGCCTTCCTGCTCTTCCAGCCCAACAGATGAATTAAAGGAAGCTAGGCAGCCTGGGCAGCAAGGCCAGAGATCTCTGAGGAGGCAGTTGGTGGGTTGTTTCTTTTGGGGCAACCGAATGGTGGGAGCAAGGAGGAAGTGAGCAGCTAAGACAAGCACAGATTTCACTAAAGGATTTGGTCCTTTCTCCAAGCAAGATAAAAGCCCCAATAGGGTGCTTCTCATCTATACTCATTGGGACCCAAATGCAAGACTGCTTCCTACAGTACATTCTCCAAGACTCTGTCCAACCTAGTGTAAATGTCAAGGGGACGTCTACCATATTTCCTTGGTGAGACCGTTGCACAGGCTAGTACACTGGTTCTCAACCAGGGTTTCGTGTACCCCTGGGGGTACGCAGAGGTCTTCCAGGGGGTACATCAGCTCATCTAGATATCTGCCTAGGTTTACAACAGGCTACATAAAAAGCACTAGCAAAGTCAGTACAAACTAAAATTTCATACAATGACTTGTTTATACTGCACTATGTACACTATACACTGAACTGTAAGTACAATATTTATATTCCAGTTGATTTATTTTATAAGTACACCCCTACCTCGATATAACACGACCCGATATAACGCGGTAAAGCAGTGCTCTGCGGGGGGGGGGGGGGGGGGGGCAGGGCTGCGCACTCCGGTGGATCAAAGCAAGTTCAATATAACGCAGTTTCACCTATAACGCGGTAAGATTTTTTGGCTCCCGAGGACAGCGTTATATCGAGCTAGAGGTGTATATTGTAAAAATGAGCTCAGTGGTTTGAGCATTGGCCTGCTAAACCCAGGGTTGTGAGTTCAATCCCTGAGGGGGCCACTTATGGATCTGGGGCAAAATCAGTACTTGGTCCTGCTAGTGAAGGCAGGGGGCTGGACTCGATGACCTTTCAGGGTTCCTTCCAGTTCTATGAGACAGGTATAAGTCAGCAATTTGTCAGTGATAGCGTGCTGTGACACTTTTGTATTTTTATGTGTGATTTTGTAAACAAGTAGTTTTTAAGTGAGGTGAAACTTGGGAGTACGCAAGACAAATCAGACTCCTGAAATGGGTACAATAGTCTGGAAGGGTTGAGAGCCATTGGGCTAGTAGATCTCACAGGCAGGAAGTCTTCCCTTAACATTCTGTCTATTCCTTCAAGTCATGTCCTGTTGAAGCATCCTAAATAATTCTTCTTCTTGGTACCTACACCCCTCAAGTCCTTATAGACTCACGAGCCCACCCCTTAACTGTGGTCTTGCAAAAAATGAGCAGTACTTTCTACTGAGTATTCTGACTTTTACAGATGTCAAAAGGCTTGACAAAAAGGATTATTTTCATCCTCATTTTACAGCTGGGGCAACTGAAGTATGGAGAAATGACTTGCCCAGCGTAACACAGTAAACCAGGTTTAGAACCCAGGAGTCCTCAACTGTTGGAGCCTAGGCTTAAGCGTCTAGACATCAGTGCCCCCGTTAAATGAGATGATATCTAAGATGAACACCTATCACCTCACCACAGCATGGATCTTTTTATACAAGAGCTGAACTGGCCCTGGTTCAACTTGAGTTGGATGGAACCATTTTTGACCAAATGAACTTTCATCAAAGCTGAAACATTTTGCAGAGATGTATTGGTTTTGACAATCACCTGGAAGATTTCTTGGTCCAGGACTTGAAAGACAGAGACCCTCACACTCTATAGCCAGATGGCTAGAGCACCGGCCTGGGAAACCCAGGTTCAAGTCCTCACTCTGCCTGATTTAGAATGATTGGGGATGAAGAACTCTGCTCTGTATCAGGTAGAGCAGGAACTAGAACACAGGTCTCCCACATTCCAGCCCAGTGCCCTAACCACCAAGCTATATAGCATGAGACACTCACATGCTTCTCCCCCGCCCCTCCACCTATGTGGGCCCAAAAACCTCCCTGAATAGAAAAACGCAACTTTTGATCCAAAACCAGACATAGCAACAATTTCATGTTCACAAAAACGTTAGAAAGGCTTTGCTTGTGTTCCAACATGGAACGAAAATAAATTTCAAAAGATGCCACAACACGGAATCATCGTCCTCCTGACACTACAGCCATCTACACTCCAACCTATGCTTACTGCCGACAGCGAGTATGACGTTCCAAGGTAACAAGTGTCTTCAGTTGCCATTGAAGCAATGGGAATCCAGGATGCTCACCGCTTTTCTCTGTCTCACAGTAACTAAGAGAAAGCGTTAAAATTTCTCCCTCAAACACAGTCCATATTTAGTGCATACAGATCAGCCTTTGAAAATTCTACTTGCCCTTGGCAAGTAGATAGTGGATTTTTCATCATCATCATGGTAAAGCTGAGCAAGTAGATTGGGTTACTAGACAGTAAATTCCTATGATGATTTTCTGAGGCTGGTATCGATCAGTTTAAAATTAATTTATTCATCTTTTGGCTTAAAACAAAACTCACTCAGGATAGAACCCAGCCAATGGACAGTTTCAAGGTGGTAACTACACAACTAATTGGGGAGATGAGACACCAATTCTGTGCCATGGAGGAATAGAAGCGAAGCAGCTGCTAAGAGCCTGCTTGATGAGTAACTTTTGAAAACTCATCACCTTGCAATCACTCTCCAGAAATTATTGCCTGATAGGTAACTGGGCCAGCAGCAGAATCTAGTACTCCCAAGGCTTGTTGTGAGCATATAATTATATGATCATGTAACCATCATTTAATTACACAATCCTCTTTCTAATAATTTAAAAAGCTCTCATCACAATATCTGAGCTGCTCACACTCATTAAGGGACTTTACCCTCATAGAAGCCCTGTCAAGTTGGGTGGTATTATTCACATATTACAGATGGGAGACTGAGGCACTAGATAGATTAAGTGACTCAAGGTCTGTGTCTAAGGCAGTAATTGAACTCAGGTCTACCAAGTCCTAGTCCACTGCCTTATTCGCTATTAGAACATGCTTCCTACCCTCATTCCTTCACACGAGGCTTCAGAGGTAAAACCACTGTTCTTCCTCTCTAGCTGACTAGCCTGAACCCAAGGCAGAAAGGACACACCAACATTTCCACATCTAACTATCTCACACGATTATGCAACTGATTGACAATTACCTTTTGGTAGCCTCAAGTGTGCCACAAGTCAGTTTGCACACACACACACACACACATATTTGCCACATGCTGCAAGCCTGGCTGAGGTGCCAGATGACAGGATAAGAAGAGACTGGCATTTCCACCCAAATCACTGCATGCTCAGAACATTAAAAATCAGACTCTATCCCACCCATAAAGATCATCTAACTTATTCCCACACCCACCAATTCAGAGTCTTGCACACATACCCTCTCCTAAGGCCTCAGTAGATGACCACCCCAAAAGCACTTTCATCATTAATGTTGACAGGTCACATATGCTGAACCCCTCATCCTGTCTCCAAACAAATGGGATGCCACATACCAGGCAACCTGATCAACTCAACTCTCTCCTCACTCACCCTGTATAGCCAATGGTCTCTCCCTTCTCCTCCTCATATAGGCTTGGTGGTAAGGGGCAACCCCGATTCTTGTCATCTCTACCTGAACATCCCTCTCCCACATACACAGCAAGCAGCAATCCCTGCTGTACTGTACCCCATGCCTCTTGGGGAGGTCCTTATTCACCTCAACATTCCTTCTTCTCCCAGAATATGGAGAGACTCCCGATCATCCTTCCACCTCTCATCCCCCCCAACCCGACTGTGATCCCAGTCCCACCTATTCTCCTCCTTCCATTACAAACAAAACTGTCACAAAGAGTGGGGTCCCCTCTGCTGGTCTCACACCCTTCTCTCCTCCATCATGTCCCACTGTGCTGCCCAACTCCAAAAAACAACCTCTTCAGCCCAGATCCCTCCTTTTCCCTAGAACAGTCCCTTCCCCCCCACCCCAACTGCAGGCCCACCTCCCTCAGATTCCCGTCCCCGACCCCACCCAGGGCCCTCCCTATCCCCCTTCTACAACCCCCCAACTCCTCCCCCCAGAGACTCACCTTGCCCCCTTTCCCCGCACAGATCACTGGGGCCAGTGGCTACTCTCTCACCCCCCCCACCCCCCACCTGTCATCCCAAAGGCCTCTCACAACCCTTTCTCACAGGCCTCAATCCCCTCCCCCTCACTCCCTAAATCCCGCCCCTCCCTACCTAACCCCCCTTCAGATCCCTCCCCTCCAGAGCCCCAGTCTTCAAGCGCCCCCTCCCACGGGGCCCGCTACCCCCACCCTTAGACCTCAGACTCCTCACCTCGCGCTCCTGTCATCCGGAGGTCCCTCCCCCTCCCAGACCCCCAGAGCTCAGACCCCTCCCCTGCCAACCTCGCCCCCCTCAGGCCCCGCCCCGGGGCCCCTGTCATTCCCCCAGGGCCCCTCCTCTCGCGGCCCCCCCTTACTGGGCCGGGCCCGGGCCGGGCTGATCTCCAGGTTCAGGTCGATCTTCCGCCGGGCCTCCCGGTTCTCCTGCTTCAGCTTGGCCTCCAGGCGGGACAGCTTCTGCTCCAGCGAGGACGCCGCCATCTTCCCCCCGGAGCCAGCGCCGCCTCGCAGCCAGAATACACAAACACGCGCTGCGCAGGCGCGGCATGAACCCGCGGAGCCGCCGTACCTCCTGGCGAGCCGCGCTGCGCAGGCGCGGGATTGAACCAATTGCGCCGCCGTAATCCCGCCACACACCCACCACCTACGAGGGGCGTTTGTACGCATGCGTCCGCGCCCAGCTCTCCAACAGTGCCCCCTGCCCGTTGAGGCGAGGCCCTCGGACTGAAAAGGGACCGCATGCGCCGTGATGATCACGCAGCGTCACCTGCTGGCAAAGTTCTCGCACTTCAGGAGCCGCTAAAATGTAATACACATGCGCATAGCGTCCGTGGCCCCCAACGGCTATAACCCTTCGGAGACTCCGCTGCGCATACTGGTGCCCTCTTGTGTGTGTTCGTGGGTATTTCAGCCTGTCTCGGGCAACTCTTAATGCGCATGCGCTCCCAGCTAGCTGGTTGGAGACTCCAGGGCCTGGGTTTTAGGGAGACCCTCCACCTCTACCCCCCCCCCCCCCCCCCTCCTGCCCCTCCCCCCAACTCCCCCTCCTGCCCCAGCATGGGGAACCTGCCTCTCCCCCAACACTCCCTAGTCTAGCAGTTGTGCCTCCCCCTAACACCCATCTGGTCTGGGAGTCCTGGGGACTCCCCATCTGTCCCCAGTCTGCTGACTCCTGGGGAACCCCTGGGAAAATCCCCCCCATTCAGGGGCCACCCAGCTCCTCTGAGTCAGGGAGCTGGGCTCCAAATAAACCTCATGTCCCGCCAGCAGAATGGCGAGAGAGAGCGACAGTGCGCTCACAGCCTTGCACAGGGCCCCAAACTGGGGATGTGCTCACACCCGGGGGGCACTATGGTGCTTTCATCCGACAGAGAGACGGACGTGATTGCAGAAGGGGGTGGATAGTGGAAGAAATGGATCCAAAACTCACAGCAGGATAGGAATGAGGCATCTGCTCTGAGCGGGACGGCCCACCTAGCTGTCTGATGCTTCCAGTGCACCCACGTGTGGGCCCCGCGGCGTCTGATTGCGCTAGTTTAAAATGTGGCATCTCCCTCAAAGGAGCCACAGAAAGTTCTAGCTGGAGCTGGTTGTCCCATCAAGAGCCAGATTTTCAGAAGAACTCGGGGCCAGATTTCACTGCTCCCTCACCCAAAATGGATTTTCCCCCACCCCCCCTTTGGGGCGCCCCCCCCCCCCCCGCATAGGGGTCAATTCTCCCCTGGAGCCTACTCACCCCCCAAAACTGGGGGCCCAGATTCTCCCTGCCCCAGTCCGTCCCCACCCCGCTCAGTGCCCCAGCAGCTCCCATCGTGGCACGTGACAGCCAGCTTTTCAAATGAGCTCAAAACACCCAGTGCTTGAAAATCTGACCTTGCATCCGCAAGCCCCTGATCCTGCACTGAGTTTTGTGGGACTGGATCCTGGTGCAGGATTCAGGCCTGGGCTGCTCGCCTCACTCAGAGGAGAGCTCCAAAAATTTACTAAAACAGGGGTTCTCACAACCAATTTTTGGGTGGCCTCAGAGTGCGCCCACTAACTCTTGCTGGTGGCTGCACTTACACTTTTTCCTAAAATTATTTATTTTTCCCAAAGTTAATTAAGTAATATGCACATATATACATCCAAATCATTGTCATTTATTTATGTAAGGTTTTGGGTTTTTTTGCAGACTCAATAATAAAAACATGCACAGTTATCTCTAGTCTTTATTGGACCTAACAGAATAGAAACACAAATAAGGTGCTTTGCACGTTCTTGTCTTTTTTATTATTGTTTCTTGTGCTTGTTTTGGTAAAAGTGATTGTATAACAATTGTGAAGTAAATTTAAAAATGCTTTTACATAATAGAATTCCAAATAATAATTAAAAACATATCTGGATGGCTTGGGGTCTGGGGAGGAGAAGAGAGGGGAAGGGAGGCACTGCCGCGACTGGCCCAGGGCTCCTCCGGGCAGGTGGTGGGGATCGGGGCAGGGCTTTGGCCAGTCCAGAGCTCCCAACGAGGGGGCGGGGGCACTCTGGGCTTCGGCCAGCCCGGGGCTCCTCCAGGCAGGTGCGGGGCGGGGGGGTCTCAGGGCTTTGGCCATCCCGGGGCTCCTCCGGCCTCTCGCCTCCTCACCCCACCCCCGCTCGCTTCTCGCCTCTGCACCCCACCCCTGCCCACCTCCCGCTTCCTCACTCCACTGCCACTCGCCTCCTGCTACCTCACTCAATCGCCGATCGCCTCCTCACCCCACCCCCGCTCGCCTCCCACCTCCCCACCCCCGCTCACCTCCCACCTCGTCTCTCGCCTTCTCACACACAACCCCGCTTGCTTCCCGCCACCTCACTTCACCTCCGGTCGCCTCCTGCCTCCTCACACACACCCCCAGCTGGTCTCCTGCCTCCATACTCCACCCCCACTCGCCTCCCACCACCTCACTCCACCCCCACTCACCTCCTGCCTCCTCACTCCAACCC